CCTAGGAGTTTGAGACCAGTCTGGGCAACATGGTGAAACCCGATCTCTACCACATATATACATATATACAAAAATTAGCACACTGTAGTGGTGCACACCTGAAGTCCCAGCTACTTGAGAGGCTGAGGTGGGAGTATCATTTAAGCCTGGGAGGCGGAGGTTCCAGTAAGCTGAGATCATACCACTGCACTCCAGCCAAGGCAGCAGAGCAAGACCCTCAAAAAAAAAAAAAAAGTACACATATATCTTTGTCATCATTTAAGATTATTTCCTCAAATAATTCTCAGAAGAAGAGTCCTTAAGCTACATGAAATGGATGATTTTTAAGGTTTATAATAAAGACTGCTGAATTGCTTCCCAGAAAAATTATAATCTATTTTATATTCCTACTAACAATATCTAAAATGAACATCTCATTGAACCTTAGCTGACAAGGTTATTTATTTTTTAATCTTTGTGAATATGATATTTTGTTTTTAATTAATATTTCCCTGAGTATTTGGAAGTTGAATATTCAGTGTTGCTACTTTATGTGGGATTTAATTTGATAATGATCATTCTAGTTTGTCCTAATGCTCTTCAGTTTATAGAAGGAAACTTTCTTCAGTCCTTTAGTAGAAGGAGTATTCATTTTTGTATCGTCATATAAATTTATTGAAGATTTTTTTAAAGATGACGTATGTAATTAAGAATTAGAGAGTTGATTAGATGAACACGAAAAAAGGGATCTTTCCATTTGTGGAGTTCCCTTCTTGACCTACTTTCTTGTTATTTTGTCCCTTATTCTATGTTCAGAACTAAATAAGAGAGGGGATGTAGAGAGGAAGTTCCTAGAAACCTAAGTTTATTCTAATCCTTAAAATGAACTATTGGAACACAACCCTTTTGCAAATTAAGGACTTTCAGTGCACCTTTGGGGAAATCCTCAAACACAATTTTTTTTGTTGATAAAATGTGTTCATCTTCTTCTTACAGACCTATTAAATTCTTTAAGGGTAGGAATCAAATCTCATATATTTTTATATCCCAGGTATAATTCCTGGCACACAAAAGGTGCTCCGTAAATGTATTACTAATAGACGCTTTGAAATAGTGAAAAGATTGAAGTTGGAGTTAGAAGACCTGGGGTTTTTCTCCTTTAATTCATTAGAGTTTTAAGACCTTTGTAGATTATATGACATTATTTGAAAGTCATTTTCATCAAATCATGAGTATACTGCTTGTTCCATTTACTTCACAGAATTTGGAAATAAATGAGATAAAACTTAAAGTATTTTTAAAAGTGCTGTGCAGTTGTGAAAGTCATTGCCATTGTTAGTATTATACATATTTCTGGGAAGTACTTGATAGAGAGCTCCATTGTTAAATTACCTGAATGACTTTGGCAGAGACTGCTAGCTGATCACTGAAAACTCTACTGTTTCCCCTTCTTTCTGGGCCTACAGCTGGACAATTTCTATGCCTCCTTTGCATTTAGGTGTGGTCATATGCCGAGTTCTAACTAATGGAATGAACAGAAATAATAGGCACCACTTCTAGGCCCTGCCCATAAAATCACCTGTGAGGATCCCTTAAAGTTCTTTTTTCCTTCTATCTTGCTGGAATGGAGACCACCCTCAGGTTAACCTTGGAAGCCGCAAATTAAAGATATTAAAGCCTCTTTGAACGTCAAATGCCTGCCAACTTCATTCATCTAGTTCTGCTACATGAGCAAGAAATAAACTTGTATTGAGTTTAAATCATATGTTTTAGGGTATATTTGGTAAAGCGGTTAGACTACTCGTGTTACAAGGAACATGTTAATTCATGCTCTGCTTTTTCTTTAGAGAAGTATAATCCGCTTATAATAGTTCTAATAGCCTTAGAAATAAAGGATAGCAATGTAAATATATATATAAATGGTCACAGACAGATGGATAAACTCGGTAACCCAAGATAAAATTGAAGCAAGAATTATATCATTTGAGAATTATTTTGTTAAGTTAAACAATGAGATTTATAATTTTTTATTATTAAAGTTTAATTAGATAACATTTTTAACTTTTTAATATATGTCATATATTTTTCACTTTTTCATTGTTCAGGCCAAGGTTCCAAAAGGGTATAAAAAAGGAGATTTATCTGGGTAATACCTTGCTTTAATTGATATTTAGTATCCAAACTCTTTAATCCCATTAAATGCGATACTCAAGATATGTACAGTATAAAATTGTTGCATGATTCCTATCCCTCCAAAAACTGTGATCTCTTCTCTCCGTCTCTTTCTATTACATGATTGTGACCCATGTCATTATGAAAGTTTTTTGTTGGTTGAGGATATTCAATTAGACATTTATGCTTTTATCTGGCAGCTGTTACCCAAAGTAATGGATAATAATGAACTGTATCATAGTCTTAATTGAGGGGGGGTTTCTTTAAATATATTTAGGTTTGAGGTGGTCCAATAATATTTCTAATGGGAAGTATAGTATTAATCAGTCTACTTATATTTTGATTTTGGTAATAATTAAGACACCACCAAACATAATGAAAACAGCTATCACAGAACCCATGTCCTTTACTGCCTAGAAAAGAAGCTTTGTTCTTGAAAGTATAATATTCTTAGGCAATACATTTTATACATTGATTAGTAATCGGATTTACCCTGGGAAGCTTGGAGCGTTCTACAATTAAATCAGGAAACAACCTGTGGGCAGCAAGTTAGAAACAGAGAAAGGTAAGAAATGAAACTTAATAGAGCTTTAGGAGATAATAGCAAAGGATAGAGCAGCCACAAGGAAAGAAGAAAAAAATTACAGTTGACCCTTGAACAAGGCAGAGGTTAGGAGAACTGACCATCTCATGTACTTGAAAGTATAATATTTTGCTCCCCCCAGATTTTTTTTTCCCCGTGACGGTGTCTCGCCCTGTTGACCAGACTGGAATGCAGTGGTATGATTTTGGCTCACTGCAGCCTCCACCTCCTGGGTTCAAGCAATTGTCCTGGCTCAGTCTCTCAGGTTGCTGGGATTACAGGTGCCTGCCACCATGCCTGGCTGATTTTGATGTTTTTAGTGGAGACAGGATTTCACCATGTTTCCCAGGCCGGTCTGAAACCCCTGACCTCAAATGATCAGCCCTCCTCGGCCTCCCAAAGTGCTGGGATTACAGGTGTGTGCCCAGCCTGACTCCACCAAAATTTAACTACTAATAACCTACTGTTGACCGGAAGCCTTACCAATAGCATAAGCAGTCCATTAACACATATTTTGTATGTTACATGCATTATATACTTTATTCTTACAATAAAGTAAGCTAGGGAAAAGAAAATGTTAAAATCACAAGGAAGAGAAAATATTTATTACTTATTAAGTGAAGTGGATCATCATAAAGGTCTCCATCCTTATTATCTTCACGTTGAGTAGGCTGAGGAGGAGGAAGAAGAGAAGTTGGCCTTGCTGTCTTAGGGATAGAAGAAAATTTGTCTATCATTGGACCCATGCAGTTCAAACCCATGTTGTTCAGGGTTAACCATAATTGTATAAATAAGAGACTGAAGGAATTATGTGAAATGGCAAGCTGAGTCCTATTTTCTTGGATACCTTTTGGAAGCATTGAGCTATCATGGCATGTGCAATTGCTGATGTTAAAAGTTATCCTCAGCTGGGCATAGGAGTCCATCTCATAAATAAATAAATAAATAAAAGTTATCCTGAGGCCAGGTGTGGTGGCTCATCCCTGTAATCCGAGTACTTTGGGAGGCTGAGAAGGGAAGCCAGGAGTTCAAGAGCAGCCTAGTCAACATAAAGAGACCCCCATCTCTATTTAAAAAAAAAAGTTACCCGAAACAATAACATAAGGCTAAATTATGTTTAGAATACCCTTTGATATAATTTGAAGTACATTTTAGAGTTTTTTCAAAACTTAAATTTGGGTGATTCTCAATTATCTGAAAATTTATTTAAATCAGGATATTTTCCAACCAAATATCTACTAATTTTAATAAATTAGTTCCTTTTAATTGCATGATAAAAGCATGTAATCATTGGTTTCTGCCTACTTAGTCATTTACCTTCAAATATAATACCTTCAAATTGTTAACCTTGGAATTTCTGAAATAAAATTCCTTTTACAAAGTTAAATTTTAGTGTAGTTACTAACATTTTAGTTTTTGCACTTAAATTTTTAAAAGAAAATCCAGTTGGTATTTCTTAATGTAGTGAGTTTTGATTTTTTTATTTTTAATTTTTGAGACGTACTCTCAATTTGTCACCAGGCTGGAGTTCAGTGGTGCGAGCTCGGCTCACTGCAACCTCTGCCTCCTAGGTTCGAATGATTCTCCTGGCTCAGGCTCCCGAGTAGCTGGGACTACAGGCACATACCACCAGGCCCAGATAATTTTTAGTAGAGACAGGGTTTCACCATGTTGGCCAGGATGGTCTCAATTTCTTGACCTCGGGATCTGCCTACCTTGGCCTCCCAAAGTGCTGGGAGTACAGGTGTGAGCCACCGTGCCTGGCTGAGTTTCAATATTTTATATTCAGCTTTTTGTCTGTATTCTTTGAAACTTACCACTTGCTTTTCTAGGAAAATAGTATTTCACTGCAACAGAAGCTATCTTCTGAACTGTCTTCTCCTTTGCTGATTATTTGCTTATAGGTATTTTACAGTGGGATGATAAATAGTTGATATAGCTCCTAATTTAATAAAATAAAGATTTTATTTTTTCAGTTTGTACAGAAGTAAAAAGACCCATTACCATAGTACTAAAAGAGAAACATGTTTTCTTAAAGTAACTTTGCAGCGTTATTCTTCATAGCACTCTGAAGACACTGCCAAACAACATTTACTGCCTTACATGTGATATTAGTTTAAGAAATATTTGTTGAATGAATGAGCATTGAATTTAAACTAGCTATCATCAGGGTCAGGAACCTACAGGTGAAATCTCATGTCACTTATTGACTAGAAAATGTTAACTTTGGTATACTAATTGTATTTATTTGTGTTCTGGGATACAGGTGGCAATAAAAATAATCGATAAGTCTCAGCTGGATGCAGTGAACCTTGAGAAAATCTACCGAGAAGTACAAATAATGAAACTGTTAGACCACCCTCACATCATCAAACTTTATCAGGTATGACTCAGCCTGACACTGTCTCCATTCATTCCACAAAATAGTTCTCTACTTTGTATCATGATTTTTCTTCTTATATTTGTTTTTCTAATCAATGAAAGAAAATAAATGTATGCTTTTTGTAACTGAGTACATCCATTTTTCTATATTGTCTTTAAACTTAAAAATCAGAAATCTTAAGTTATCTCACAGACTGCAAGTTACTTTAAAAGTTTGCCATGTGGGCCAAGCATGATGGCTTATGCCTATAATCCCAACACTTTGGGAGGCTGAGGAAGGAAGATTGCTTGAGACAAGACTGGGCAACATGGTGAAACCCCAGCTCTACCAAAAAAAAAAAAAAAAAAAAAAAAAAAAAATATATATATATATATATATATATACACACACACACACACACACACACACACACACACACACGCAAAAATGAGCCTTATGTGGTGGTGCACACCTGTAGTCCCAGCTACTTGGGAGGTTTAGGCAGGAAGATTGCTTGAGGTTGCAGTGAGCTATGATGATACCACTACACTTTAGCCTGGGTGAGAAAGTCAGACACTGTCCCTTAAAAAAAAAAAAAAGAAGTTTGCAATTGTATGTTTATGATACCCTGCATTTTAACTGCAGGGTTTTGGTGCTACTGCCTAATGAGGATATGGCAGTTTGCTTATTTAAAAAGAATATGTTTTATGAAAATACAATGGCTAAACTAGTGTATTATTCAGTGGCATACTTTATAATAGATAGGACTACATTTATTTAGTTATTTGGCTTATTTTAGTAGAGAAAATAAATTTTCTGTTTTTTAAAAAATCAGTTTTGTTATAATAATTTTTGTAAAATGCACCATTTTAAGTGTAAGCTCTCAGGTTTTTAGTTGTTTTTCACAGCTTTAGGGGGTGCAAGTGCAGTTTCGTTATGCAACTATATTGCATGGTGGTGAAGTCTGGGCTTTTAGTGCACCCACCAACCATCCATGGTTTTTTAAAGGAGCATTTTTCTCAGATTTTTAAAGAGTAGTTTATGTTTAAGGAGGATAATATAGTACAAAATATTGAAAAAATATGTATTTCTTAACATGCAGAATTTTTCTGTTGAAAACCTCTTTTTAAACTGAAATGTTCTAATATCCTGGCTCATGACTTTGATCTCCAGAGTGTGATGTGTACACTCATGATATGCTGGACTCAGCCTGTACCGGCTTGTTGAGAGTTGATTGTTAAACTTTCAGAAGCTTTGCAGGCCAATTAACATGATGTTAGTAGCTCAAAATGCTCATTGGTGGGAATATTTACATCACAGTAATTGGTTTACCAATCAGGGCCTTTTTATTTTTTGTCAGAAAGCTGGTTTACTGGCACACCAGTATGTGCATTCAAATGGATTAGCACAGATGTCCTTGGGAGTATCAGAAGAAAATATTAAACCTCTAGTTATGTTTATTTTTTATATTTGTTTTCATGTGTGTATTTTATAATATACATAACATTTTACAGTGGCACATGTACGTAATGTGTGTGTAAATATACATGTGTCACCATGTATGTCGTGTGTGTATATATATATATATATATATATATATATATACACATATATATTTGGCAACTTTATTTGTTTTGTGGCGGAGTCTCTCTCTGTCACCCAGGATGGGGTGCAGTGGCAGGATCTTGGCTCACTGCAACCTCCACCTCCCGAGTTCAAGCGATTTTCCTGTTTCAGCCTCCCAAGTAGCTGGGACTACTGGTACCTGCCACCACGCCCAGCTAATTTCTATATTTTTAGTAGAGATGGGGTTTCACCTTGTTGGTCATGCTAGTCTCGAACTCCTGACCTCAGGTGATCTACGCACCTTGGCCTCCCAAAGTGCTTGGATTACAGGCGTGGGCCACCGCGCTCAGCTGGCAACTTTGTTTTTAATGGATTCCCATAGGAATCATGTTTATTGTATTTTATTTTTTTTAGAGAGTTTCACTGTTGTTGCCTAGACTGGCCTTGAACTCCTGGGCTCTAAGGATCCCCCTGCTTCAGCAAGGACTGCAAGTGTATGACAGTGTGCTTGGCTCTAAAGCAGTGGTCTCCAACATTTTTGGCACCAGGGCCAGTTTCGTGGAAAGCAATTTTGCTACCTCAGCATTCGATTCTCATAAGGAGTACAGACCCTAGATCCCGCACATGTGCAGTTCACAGTAGGTGTCACACTTTATGAGAATCTAATGCCACTGCTGATCTAACAGGAGACAGAGCTCAGATGGTAATTTGAGCAATGGGGAGCAACTGTAAATACAGGTGAAGCTTCATGGAGTGGCCTGGTTGGCAGCCCCTGCTGTAAACAACTTTTATTGATAGAGATTTTCAATTAAAAAATGTGAAGACCATTGGCTTATGATATGCCTCCTGAGAATGAGAGACTATGATGTGCCATTCAAAGCATTTCCTAAAAATTCTAAAACTATAGAGGCCTCTTAGGTCAAATTTATATCAGATTAGCCCAGTGCAGTGACATGTAGTCCCAGCTACTAGGGAGGCTGAAGCAGGAGAATCTCTTGAGCCAAGGAATTCCATGCTGTAGTGCACCACGATTGCACCTATGAATAGCTACTGTACTTCAGCCCGGGTAACACAGAAATCCCATCTCTAAAAATAAATAAATAAATAATTCCGATTTCTTCTCCCTTTAAACTTTAAAATTATTACCTTTTTTTTTTTTTTTTTTTTTTTTTAGAGAAAAGGTTTTGCCCTGTCACCCATCCTGGAGTGAGGTGGCACAATCATAGCTCACTGCACCTTTGAACTCATAGACTCAAGTGATCTTCCCACCTCAGCCCTTCCTCAACTAGCTGGAACTGTAGGCACATGCCACTATACCTGGCTAATTTTTTTATATTCTTTGCAGAGACAGGATCTCACTGTGTTGCTCAGGTGTTCTCAAACTCCTGGGCTCAAGTGATCCTCCCATCTGGGCCTCCCAAAGTGCTGGGATTACAGGAATGAGCCACCCGTGCCTAGCCATTTTTTTTGTTTTAATCCTAAAGAAGATACTTTTAAGAAACTAATTATATTCTTCAAAGTCTCTGATTAACCATAAACTAAACTGAGGATCAAACTAACATAATTCACATAATAATTCTATCTGTTTGAGGGAACTAATTGGTTATAATTGATTTACTGATTTGTTTAGGCCCAAACTGTAGGTAGTTCTTCGTTTGCTGGCCTCATGGAGAATAGTCTTAAACCTATATCTTAGAAGAAAATTAATTTTATTTCTTTCAGTAGATAGCAGTTAGAGTGTTACAGAGAAGCACTCTAAAAATTGTTCATCTTGAATCTAAACATTCTTTTCCTTTTTATTTATTTTTATATATGTATATGTTTTTTGAGACAGTTATGCTCTGTCACCCAGGCTAGAGTGCGATGGTGTGATCTCAGCTTACTGCAACCAGTGCCCCCCGGGTTCAAGTAATTATCCCACCTCAGCCTCCTAAGTAGCTGGGATCACAGGCACATACTACCACACCTGGCTAATTTTTGTATTTTTTAGTAGAGACAGAGTTTCACCATGTTGGCCAGGCTAGTCTCGAATTCCTGACCTCAAGTGATCCACCTGCCTTGCCCTCCCAAAGTTCTGGGATTATAGGCATGAGTCACCATGCCTCGCCTTATTTTCTCTTTAAATAGATATCTATTTAGTGTAGTTTGAAAAATCAAATATATGACGATAACACACTTCTTTCTGAATCTAGAAAAATGAATTTTAATAAAGGTATTTAACAGTAGAGCCATGAATATGAAACTTTTGAACAATGTTTTTAAATTAGAGTACTTTGTAACAATATTAAAATATAGTATAAGGAATGTCACATTGTGCCAGATTAGCTAGGCTACAGGCCAGGTGAACTAAATTATTCTATTCTTTTAATCAGAATCTACCGTGATAACATAGAACTAGAAAAGTCAGTGAGGAGATGTTGAAAAGTTGATCTGCAAAACTCCTATTATCTATACTTACACTTCTCAAACTTTCATGTGCATAAAAAATCACTGGGCAATTTTGCTAAAATGTAAATTCCATTTCAGTATGTCTGGGATGGGGCCTGTAATTCTGAATTTCTTACAGGTAGTTGAGTAGTGCTACTACTGCTGGTCCATGAACCACACTTACAAGAGCAAAGATCTCAATTTTTTCACAAACATATTAATCATACGGATATTGTCAGGCTTATAAACTTAGCCATCTTCTGAATTGTTCATAACTGTGATTCTTTTATTAGTAGTTTCAATTAGGTAACTCCATAGAATGTTGTGGAAAATTACAGTACATTTTCTGTCAGACTAATATGGAATTATTTATCAATAGGTAATGGAGACCAAAAGTATGTTGTACCTTGTGACAGAATATGCCAAAAATGGAGAAATATTTGGTAAGCTTTTTCCTTTAAATTTTCTATTAATTTGAAAAATACACTAATCTGCATGAATAGGATATTTTCTATTAATTTTCTGCTTATTTAAGTGTTGGTAATATAAGAAAAAATTTTAAGTGTTAGAATAAAGTTTTCAGTAAGGTAAAATAGGAAATATAACTTATTTTCTTGTATTTATTATATTAAAGGTACTACTTAATTCTGTTGTCTCTTAGAGATTGGAGAATCAAACATATTGAGGAACTTTCTTTTTTTTTTTTTTTTTTTTTTTTTTTGAGATGGAGTTTTGCTCTTGTTATCCAGGCTGGAGTGCAATGGCACGATCTCAGCTCACCACAACCTCCGCCTCCTGGGTTCAGGCAATTCTCCTGCCTCAGCCTCCTGGGTAGCTGGGATTACAGGCGTGTGCCACCATGCCCAGCTAATGTTTTGTATTTTAAGTAGAGACGGGGTTTCACCATGTAGACCAGGATGGTCTCGATCTCTTGACCTTGTGATCCACCCGCCTCGGCCTCCCAAAGTCCTGGGATTACAGGCTTGAGCCACCTCGCCCGGCCTATTTTCTTTCTTTTTATCATCCTTTTTTACCTTACTTTCCATAGGAAAGATTAGTCAGTAAATGTTTATTAAGCTGCTTCTGTGTCCCAGGCATTTTACTAGGTATTGGGGATACTCTGGTGACCTAAGTAGCACAATCTCTGTTATTGTGGATCTTAGTTTAGTGAAGTATTCACTATAGCTTTAAGACTTCAGGCAAGTCACCAAACCACTCTGGGACTTGATTCTTTTATCTCTAATGAGAAAGTATTTGATTAGTGTTTATGATTCATTTTAACTTTAAAAAAAATTTAAATATGCTATTCTAGCTTTCACCTAAAGCATCTGTTTATTTTTATTGTGTGGAATCAGAGCACTGTAGTTATCTAAATCTTTTTGTTCTTAACTTAAATCCAAAAGTATTTTTTAAGCAGCTTTATTGAAGAATAATTCATGTGTAATAAACTGCACGTATTTAATGTGTACAATTTAATAAGTTTCGACACACATTTGTGAAACCATCACCACAATAAAAATATCCATCACTTCCAGAAGTTTCTTTGTGCCCTCTTTGTAAGTCTCTTGTCCCATCTGACGCCCACACAACCGCTGATCTGTTTTTTGTCACTGTGGATCAGTTTGTATCTTTTGGAGGTTTATATAAATGTAATTATATAAGATATATTCAAATGTAATCATATAGGATATATTCTTTTTTTTTGGTTTAGCTTCTTTCCTTTATTATGATTATTTTGGGATTCATCCATTTTATTGTGTATATCAACATATAATTTCTTTTTATTGCAAGTATTATATGAATATATCCCAATTTGCTTATTCATTCATTTATATGTTGATAGACATTTGGGTTGGTTTAGGTTTTTGGCTGTCATACATAAGTTACTGTGAACATTCATATACAAGTGTACACAGTCTACCTTCAGGTATTACCACTTCACATAGCACAGAACCTTGGCTAGGCGCAGTGGCTCATACCTGTAATCCCAGCACTTTGGGAGGCCAAGGTGGGTGGATCACCTGAGGTCAGGAGTTCAAGACCAGCCTGGCCAACATGGTGAAACCCATCTCTACTAAAAATACAAAAATTAGCCAGGCATGGTGGTGCATGCCTGTAATCCCAGCTACCAGGGATGTTGAGGCAGGAGAATCACTTGAACTTGGAGGCAGAGGTTGCAGTGAGCTGAGATCATGCCACTGCACTACAGCCTGGGTAACAGAATGAGACTTCATCTCAATTTAAAAAAAAAAAAAAAAAAAAAGAACCTTACATGAGTGTACTTCTCTTTTGCCCCTCCTGGCCTTTATGTTCTTGTTGTCATATTTTACTTATACCTATTTTATAAAGCACAATACAGTGTTATTTTTCTTTAAACAATTACCTTTTAAAGAGATTTCCATATTTTTTGAAAGTCATCTATTTATCAGTGTAGCTACCTTTTTCTTTCAACAATTATCTTTTAAAGAGATTTCCTTTTTTTTGAAAGTTAAATCTATTTAATCAATGTAGCTACTATTTCTGCATTCCTATGTATATACATATTTTTATCTAATGTCATTTTCCTTTTGTCTGAAGGATTTTCTTTAGTGTTTCTTATAGCACAGATCTGCTGGTGATGAAATATTTCAGCTTTTATATGTGTAAAGTAGTCTTTATGTTGTCTTTGTTTTTGAAAGGTATTTGTACTAGATATAGAATTCTAGATGGACTTTTTTTCTTTCAGTACTTTAAAGATGTTGCTTCACTATCTTCAAATTTGCACTGTTTCTGACAAAAATCTACTGTCATTTTTTTCTTTATTCCTGTGTGCCTTTTTTCTCTGGCTGCTTTTAAGGTTTTCTGTTTACTACTGGTTTCAACAGTTTGATTATCATGTGCCTTTGTGTGGTTTTCTTCATGATTCTTACGTTTCGTGTTCATTGAGCTTCTTGAATCTGTGACTATACTGTTTTCATCAAATTGGGATATTTTTCAGCCATTATTTTCTAACTAATTTTTTCCTCTCTCTTCTTCTACCCCTCTCTCTTTTCCTTCAGATATTCTAGTCCAACTTATATTAAACTGCTTGAAATTGCCCCACAGCTCACTGACGCTCTTTTCCATTTTTAAAAAATTCCTTTTCCTCTCTTTGTCTCATGTTGAGTAGTGGCTCTATGTCTTTAAATTCATGAATCTTTTCTTCTGCTATTAATCCCATCTAGCGTATTGGTCATCTCAAACACTGTAGTACTCCTTTCTATAAACGTGACTAGGATTTTTTTTATGCCTTCTATGTCTTTACTTAGCCTTTTGAACATCTGGAATCCAGTTATGATAATTTTTAATATCCATGTCTGCTGATTTCCAGCTTCTCTGTCAGTTCTGGGATTGGTTTTGATTGGTTGATGTTTCTCCTCAGTTTTGGTCACATTTTCCTATTTATGTACATGCCTGATAGTCTTTGACTGGATGCTAGACATTGCCAGTTTTACCTTGAGCACCACATATTTTTTGGGTTACTTTAGGTTTTCTTTAGCTTTGTTCTGGGATGCAGTTAAGTTACTTGGAAACAGTTTGATCCATTTGGGCCTTGCCTTCATGACTGAAACAGTTCTCAGTCTGGGTCTAGTTACTTCCCACTTCTGAGTACTCTACTCAATGACCTATGAATTCTGAGTTTTTGGCCTGACCAGAAGGAACAGGCACCATTCCTGGCTCTGTGTAAGCACTGGGCAGTGTTCTCTCTCAGCCTCTCAGATGGTTCTTTCTGGGCCCTCTCATGGTTTTCCTTCACACCTGAGCCTGTCAGCACTCTCTTGAGTGCTCAGGGGACAGATCCCTCTGCAGACCTTTGGAGTTCTCTCTGTGTGTAGCTCACTCTTCTTGGGGACTCTCGGCATTACCTATTCAACTGAAAGATGTTGCAGGGCCACACCTGGGTTTCCCCTCCGTGTGCTGGGGAGTAGAGATTCTCTCAAGGCATTAGTTGGAACATTCATCTGTCTCACCTCATTTGTCACTTGTCTCTCAGGAATCACTCTCCTTTGCCTGATGTCCAGTGTCTTATAAACCACTCTCTCATGTATTTCATGTTGTTGTTGTTGTTGGGGATAGGAAGGTTGTTTCAGGCAAAAGGTTAAATTCATCTTTGCCAAAAGCAGAATTATTCTGTCCTTTCAAATTTTTTGTTAAAGTATTTTAAAGAGAACTATATACATGTTTATAGTTTTGAAAAATGCACTATTTGTAGTTGGATTCTAAATAAATAGTTCTGACTGAACTTATTGTATTTCAGAAAAGATGTCTGCTTCCCTCTTTTGCTTATTTTTTTTATGCTACTGCTTAATGAGCTTATTTTAATTCTTAAAATATTTGTTTCAGCTAGCAGCATCTTGACTGATGCTATAATAGACTGTTATGGGCCTTGACGCTAAGCAAATCTGATTTACAATGACGGCTGTACCATATTAATTGTTACATTACTTTGAGCAGTTTCTTTTCTTTTCTTCCCTTTTTCGCCTTTATTCTTTTGTTATTTTTCTTTCCTTTTCTTTCCTGTTTCTTACATTCACTTACTCATTCATTCAGTCTTTCAAGAAATCTTTATTGAAAACCAACTGCTTGTCACACACTGCTGTGGAGTAAGAAAACTGCAATGAAGAAAATAGGCAAAAATCTCTACTCTTTTACATTCTAGTTTGGGAGAGAGAAACAAAATAGCTGAATTATGTAGTAGATTAGATAGTGATGAGTGCTTGTAAATAATAAAGCAAGGCTGGTGGATTGGGAGGCATGGGAGTTGATTGCAACATTAAATAGAGCAGTCAGAGAAGGCCTCACTGGCATTTGAGCACAGACTTGAAAGCACAGTCACGTCGATAAGGAAGAATGGGGATTATCCAGGGAGAGGGAAGAATAAATGCAAATCCCTGCGGCAGCAGTGTGCTTGGTGTGTCCAAGGGGTAACAGGGAAGGCCAGTGTGGCTCAAGAGGAACAAGCAAGAGAGAAGAGCAAGGAGGAAGAACAGTGGAAGAGGTCAGAGAGTAAATGGGAGGCGGAAGTGGGGCAGATTTGGGGGTTTGCATAGGCCATTAGAAGAATTTTGGCTCTTTGAATTAAATTAGGGAACCATTTTCAATCAGGTTTCAGCAGAGAAGTGACTGCATCTAATGTAACATTTTAAAAGCATCACTCTGGCTACTCTGCTGAGAATGGGAAAGGGTGGAGATAGGGAGACCAGGTAGGAAGCTGTTGGAGTAGTTCCAGTGAGGGATGATGACAGCCCAGACCAGAGTAGTAGCAATACAGGTAGTCCTAAGTGGTCAAACTCAGAGTATATTTTGACTTATAATCAGTAGGACTTCTTGACAGATGGAGACTTCTAAGTAGTAAGTATAATTATGGAAGAGGCCAGGGTCTGATCCCTGAGGCATTTAAACACTATAAGATTTGGAAAAGAGG